GTGTGGGTGTGGGTGTGGGTGTGGGTGTGGGTGTGATGAGGTGTGAGTGTGAGTGTGAGTGTGAATGTGGTGCTCTGAAAAAAAGGAGGTTTGCAGAACTATTTTTGGTTCTGCAGCGTTGGCAGAACCATTTTTGGTTCTGTATCGTAGTGAATAAATCATAGAAGGTTCTGTACAATTGTATAGAACCAACGATGGTTCTGCAGGATTTTGCAGAACCATCGATAGCTCTGCACCACTGTACAAAACCATCGATGGTTCTGTATAATAGTTCAGAACCATTCGAAGTTCATTGTTTCTTAACATCGAATTAAAGATGCTTCATCTATTAATATAAACTGTTAGAGATTCTACAAAAAAATATTGAATGATAAAAAGTTGTGAATGTTCTCTAAACACTTTCAGCTCACCAAATAAAATAACCAATTAAAATCACCTTAAAAGAGCAAATATGATTGGGTAAAATACATATAATGACGACTATGAAAAAGTGAGCACGACCATTTTGTTCAGTAAAATTTAGAATGCATATGACAGAGGGTGGGTGCGGGTGTGGGTGTGGATGGTGTGGGTGGTGTGAGTGGGTGTGGGTGAGGGTGTGGATGTTGTGGGTAGGTGTGAGTGTGAGTGTGGGTGGGTCTTGGTTCGGATGAGATGAACCTTAGCAGTCACATTTCACACCCACACCCACACCCACGTCCACACCCATAGCCACATCCAAGCCCACCCACACCCACACCCACACCCACACCCGCACGCACCCCACCCACACCCACACCCACACCCTTATCCTTTATTTAGCGAATCATTATGTGAATTTTTTGGTCGACGTTACAATCGTTTAGCCAGCACAGTTTTTTGCGAATACATTTTTCAGCCTATTAATTCATGTTTATCATCGCCAGTGATAGCAGCTATGTCAATATTCATCGTCAGTGGACTACTTCATGTACATATTAATCTTGTGATTTTGAATGATACACGGACCAGCGTAGCTACATTTGCCTTCTTCTTTTTGCATGGTGTTGCCTGTTGCATAGAATAACACATGGCCATTCGGCTACCAGCATCCCTGGAATGGTTGTTAACACATTGCTTTCTTCTTATCACGTTATCATTATGTAGAGTATCATATACTCGACAAGGACCCGCTTTTTTCAAACAAAATCCTCCACAATTATTCGATTCTGAATGGCTTTCAAAGTTGCCGGTACCTAACTCTTGTTTTCATTAGAAAAAAAGATTCAAAATATAACCATAATAGTTTATAGTTTCTACCGCATGACAAAATAAACTGTCTTAAGTATGTACTATTGAGAAATTTATTAACATTTGTACCGAAAAAATTCAAAAACTCACACACCAACCTTCTTGTATCAAAGGGTGTGAGGGTGGATGTGGCTGGGTCTGTGAAAGGATGAAAGATCAACACACCTGCACTCTACACCCTCAAAAAATGTCGTCATACTAGTATGAGTAATCTGAAGAAAGTACTCTAGAAAGTCTTTCATTTTATATAACTGATAAAAAGCTGATATAATGTCATCGTCGGCAAAGCCACTTGAACACACCAAAGAAGAATTAATAAGTCATATTTATAATGATAAAAACCAAAATTCACTATATAACATGAGAATCATGCATAGGATGCAAAATAAAACTTTAATCTTTCTCTAGTTGAGCTTCTATCAGAATTGATCAGATCTGGAAGAAGAGAGGCACGAATTATTATTGGTAATACTAACTGTCTAGGTCACCGGTCAAATCAATACAATGTCTATCTTGATCATAAGAAATTTCCCATTTAGTGATGATATCTCCTTATCTGACAGATCTTTCTTGTATTTAAATTTCTTTTTTTAAATTTTAATTATAGAATACTAGTAATAAATTATCGCCCGAAGAAGAACATGAAGTTCAACAATGCTTCATCCAATATAATCGTGTAATTCGATCTGAATATAAGACATCAAGTGACCGTACACTTATTGATTATCGAATAAATCAATGAAGAGAAAACGTTCCATTTATATATCGATTCAATGGTTAACCTCAGGTTGATGGTCAATAATTCTGATGTAAATATTTATTTAATAACCATAAAACAACTCGAATATCCATCGTACTTTGTTGGTAAAATTTAAGTCGAATTCAGCAAGCAGAAATAACAAGTTATATAACCAGAAGTGGTTTAATAATCGATGATCGATGTATTATTACAGCAGCTCATCGTTTTAATCTATTAATAGAAGAAGAAGATGTACTTGTACCATGGAAACGTAATAATCATTTGGGTATGGATTCCATTGGATTACAACCAAATGATATTTATTGGGATGATGATAGGGATGTTACAGTTTTGAAAATTTGCAGATTTGAACCAATAAAAGATATGTCAATGTTGGCAAACAAATAGAATTTTTGTTCACCACAATTATTGAACAAAGCCGAACTTGAACCGAGTCGATCATTATTTTTGCTGGCATAATGTTCAACACAGGGCTGGGCGAGTCAAACGATTTCTCGAGTCGAGTCGAGTCGAGTCAAGTTATTTTTACCATTTTTTCGTTTTCTGTTTTTCTTTATAAATAACATCAACTATACATTTTTCATTACATGATATATAGTTCCTAGCTTTTTATGCACGAAAACGGAAATAAGAAGTTACTTATAAAATAAAATGCTCCAACTACTCTAGATTAATCAACAAAATAATAAAAGTAAAATCAATTCTTCTTTTTCATACAGTTCAGCATTACAGTAAAAAATATCACTTTTTTATAAACAAAAGCCTAAGCAAAAATCTATTTACAAGTAAAATTTATTTATTATAATTAAATTGATGTGTTATTGCAAATAAAAAATGGTAACATGCAAATATTCACTGCTGTGAAACTTGAATGATTCGTTCTTATTAAAACACTGGTTTGGAAAAACGCATTCAACTGGTTCTAATACAGCAGAGCCGTACATTATTTTTTTAGCAATCAGATTAAAAGATCGTTATAAATTTACTTCCTCGGAAATCAGAGGATGGATATAGATGAGTAGAATATTATACACTGATTTCCTTTGTTAAGAAATAAATCCTATGGAATGAATGATGGAAACATTTCGTGATCAAAAATACTGTCACTCAATAATTATACTACAGTATGATAAAAAATATGACGTGTGACCCAATGCAAAGTTTTCACTTATTTGATTACATACATGTGCACAGCTTCAAAGATTAGCTAAAGGAAACGGAGAATAAATACACATATTCAATAATGCGCGGGGGGCGAACATTGACGATCATATCAAAACATAGGTCTAGAAAAGCTCCGAGAAGAAATAAATTGAATGCAATATATTCAATTAGGACGTTAGTTATGAAAAAGTGGCAATTTAATCTTATAAATTGTGGTTCTTATTAACAAGAGCAAATGAAAATTTTTGCAAATGAATGACTTGAATATGACTCGAGTCAAACAGTCGAGTCAACATTATCCAGTTTTCGAGTCCGAGTCATTAGAAAAAAGTGACTCGAGTCCGAGTCATGACTCGAACTCGCCCAGCCCTGAGTTCAACAATCTGAACGAAAAAAAAATATAGAATTTTATAAAGAATATCCTAGTTGCTCATTATATACACGAGAATATTTGAATTCTATCATGCATCCCAACCATCGAACTGTGTCAATCGAAAAGTGCATATCAAACGATGACATACATCTTGTTCATGATTGTTCCCCATTATGTAGTGCTAATGGTCATTGCATATTTGATGCAAATAGACAATTAGGCGGTGCACATACTGATGTTCGTGATGGTGATGTGCATTACAGTATTAATGGTGAAAAACGTTTGGAACCGTATGCACTGAATCAAGTATTAGCAATGCATTTCAGATCGAATTACATATCATCAAGCTATTTTCATACTAACGTTGAAATAGCAACACTATGATGGTATTATTCTGTTACAAATATTGAAAAAAAATATTTGTATGAGAGCTTCTCTCTCCTCTTATTTTATCTTCAATATCATCATTTCATCTCATAGGTTCAATTGCTGTTTGCTCGTTTACTTATCAAATAAACTGTCAGATATTCGATCACAACAGATTCATCATTTGTTTTTCAAGCCTTGTTTTGAAGCTTTCGCATGACATGCATCGAGAGTAAGACTTTTACTAGTAATCAATAAAAACAGTAGAAAAACAGTCCAGAATATTTTTTCAACTCGAAAATGAATGAATCTAATTGACTTCGATATCTACTTGCATCGAGTCGATTAATAAAGGGGAACAAGAGAGTAAAAATGTTCTTTCAGTTCGAGAAGAAATCGGATGTGTTCGATTGTATCCATCTCATGATTGATCAAATTGATTTTCGATTTGCTCTCAAACAAAATGCAATTTAATCGTTGTCTGATGTTCTTTGCATTGAATGAGTCGAACCATTGCGGATTTTCCGCCTAGAACTCCTTATGGGATGGCTTCGGATGCGGGCGTGGATAGAGACTTTTCGTCATCCACATCCACTCCATGTCAACACTCATATCCTCACCTGGAATAGTTTCATTTTTAGATAATTACTCAACATCGGTCTCATTCTTTTTATTATTATTATTAGCGGTATTGAATTGGAATTATGTTTCTCTCAAAGTGAACATATTGTTTTTATGGCTAGCAATTAGTAAATGGTACCGTCCTTTAGCCCTCTTAAATTCTCTGGCCGCACAGTTTGGCGTGTCGGAAATCTGATTATACTGGTTGACAGAGTTTGCCGAGCTCTACTTCGAACATGTGTAAGAACGTTCGGAACAGTTCCTAGGCGAATTCAAAAAGGATATAGTGAAGTTAGTCTTTGAGTGTCAGGTTAAAAAAAATCACTATTTTGGTTTTTTTTACCCTATGGCTTGAGCTATCACGACTCTGATTGTACCGTTGTATAGAGCTCATCGAGTTGTATATGGAACAAGAATAAGAACTTTGGCACAACTCTCCAGACGAATTCTGGGTGGATCTATTCGAATATGGGGCTAACTTCATTTACGTAGAAGAAATGAGTCTTAAGTAGTTTGACATTATTTTATAAAAACATACCCACACTCCTTTTTGTTTTATGTTATTTGTATTATTAATTTTTATGCTTATATTGTAATACAGAGTCTTGACGAAAGTATGATTTTTCGATAAAATAACACGAAACCTGTGGGCGAAATTAAACTGCATTTCTTGATTCCATTGTTACCACAGCACATTTTCAATATTCTAAAACTATTCTGACTAAATTGATTGCTGAAAAGCAAAGATTGAGACTAGCAGATTGAACTTGTCTTTTTCTAAAGAGACCAATTGATCTGTTCTCATTTGACTTACGTGTATCCACATCTACTCAAGACTAGAATATAGAGATTTTCTAACATATTATGATAGAAAACAAAAAATGAATGTCATTGTACTTGAGTTCATGGTTCATCTTAGTCACACACACAACCACTTTACATGGTCATAAATAATAGCATCGATAAGTAGTTACTTGCACTGATTCAGTAAAATCGTCAAATCGTTAGAGTATTTATTAGCCACTGCCAGATCTACTTTGCCATCTTCATTAAAATCACCTGTGATAACGTATGACGGGCATCTTCCAGCCACATATGTAATACGAGTATTAAAAGTACCATTCCCATAACCCAATAACACGCTAGCAGTGTTGTCCAGATAATTGGCAGTTGCGATATCCTGTTTTTTATCGTTATTGAAGTCACCAGATATCACAGAAACTGGACTGAT